GGGGGGGGGGATAGTCCAATTGTTTATGATACTGTGAGAAGTCTGAGGGTCATTTCACACCTTAGCGTGTGATATCCGTGTGCACAGTGCAGCACGCCGGGTGTGCTGATATCTTGAGATCAATTCTTAATGGCGCCTCATGGCGGGTTTGTCATGCGTTGTGGTGGTGGTGCAATGCATGTTATTATGAAGCCATGCGCTGCAATGCACGTCCACCATTGGGGTGCCATTAAGTCTAGTGCAGGGGTGGGCAGCCTCAGCCCTCCAGCTGTTGTGGAACTACAAGTCCCATGAGGCATTGCAAAACTGACAAGCACAAGCACGACTCCCAGAGACAGAAGCATGATGGGATTTGTAGTTTCACCGCAGCTGGAGTGCCGAGGTTGCCTCCCCCGGTCTACTGTCTGATGACACGGGATGGCAACAGCTGCACAAAGTTTTGGCCTACCTTGTTTGGGGGATTGGGGGGGGCCCTGCACCCCGCTGTTGTAGGTGGAGCATGTACAGTAACAAATCCCCAATCCTCTCCACTTAATAGCGGGAACACCTCGGTGTCCCCGCGTCCGCGTTTCACCGCAGCCCGGCGCGCCCCGGGACCGACCCCCGTCAATTCCGAGCACTTTAGCAAAAGCGCTGGAAACCCGTCGATGGCAGCCGCGCGCAATTAGTGCTTTCCATTAATTACAACTCTCATTTCCATTAGCGGGGGGTCAATGCAGATAAACAGGCGGCGCGCCGGCAGGGAGGTTGTGGGTAAGTAAACAGATATTATCAGGAGGCCCCTCCCCCAGTCCTCGCATCGCTCCAAAGTCCGCGGCAGCTGGAGGAGCGTTCTACCCGCGTCACCTCAGTCACTATAATGTGCTCTGTACGGCACCGCGGTATATGTCAGAGCTATATACATGTATAATAATAGTGTGTGACTGGGGGGGAGGGGACATTAGAGTGTAAGCTCCTCTGTACAGAGACTGATGTGACTGTGGGGGAGGGGGGCATTAGAGTGTAAGCTCCTCTGCACAGAGACTGATGTGACTGTGGGGGGGAGGGGACATTAGAGTGTAAGCTCCTACCTTCCTCAGCCAGAACTTTATAATGGATCTGGATATCTGGGGAAAGAAAATCTCAGGCCCTCAAATGAGAGGAGTCAATGTCGGAGGTTCGAGTCTCCAGACCTCGCGTGTGGACCCCAGGCCCAGAATTTCTGGGGGTTGCAGAACTCAGATCAGACATACAGACCCTAAAGCACCCAAACTGCAGAGGACAGGACCTGTGTTCCACAAAGCAGAAGGACCTCCTTCAATCAACTCTTTCTGACCTTGCACCCCTCGTTATTTAGTCATCTAGGCCGCTACCACCGCGCAACATAAGACAGACCCAGTACCGGGCCGCAGAGCATTGCACCCGAAGAGCACCCAGTACATGGGCTGCAGAGCTTCTCCCCCCCACAACACTCAAACTGCAGAGCAGGAACCTGCCGGTGGAAGGGAGGCCTCTCCAGGCCTGTGAGATCTGCGAAGTGAAGAACATTCCATGTCCCAGGAATTCCAGACTCTGCTGCTGCCGTCTTCAGCCTAAGTGCCGGGCAAGTTACAAGTTGCAGGGACTCCGTATGTGGCTGCAGAACATCAACCAAAGAGACACAGCAGAGCATCGCAGAACATCAACCAAAGAGACACAGCAGAGCATCGCAGAACATCAACCAAAGAGACACAGCAGAGCATCGCAGAACATCAACCAAAGAGACACAGCAGAGTATCGCAGAACATAAAGCAAACAGACAGCAGAGCATTGCAGAACTCAAGCTACTCTGATTGAAGTGCAGTCACCCGCCAGACAGTTTAACCAGTTCGGAGCTCAGCCTTGTGCAGCACATTCAGCATTTGCAGAGCGCACAATCTGCACTTTCAGTGTATAGAGTATATAGATTATTGTGTACAGGAGCACGTCACAGGCCATTCATGATTTGCAAAGCACAGGCACATTTTGCAGAGCATTCAGCAGGAGCACAGGAGCTGCACAACACACCATTTGCAGAGCACAGGTATTGCAATATATACATTCCTACAGCACACGAGTGCAGGGCATGCAGCAGGCGCAGAGCACAGGGGCTGCAGAGCATTTAGAATGTGCAGAGCACAGGGGCTGCAGAGCATTCAGCATGCGCTGAGCACAGGGGCTGCAGAGCATTTAGAATGTGCAGAGCACAGGGGCTGCAGAGCATTCAGCATGCGCTGAGCACAGGGGCTGCAGAGCATTTAGAATGTGCAGAGCACAGGGGCTGCAGAGCATTCAGCATGCGCAGAGCACAGGCTCTGCAGAGCATTTAGAATGCGCAGAGCACAGGGGCTGCAGAGCATTCAGCATGCGCAGAACACGGGCTAGCATTTAGCATGCACAGAGCACAGGGGCTGCAGAGCATTTAGCATGAGCAAACATTTTGCAGAGCTCAGGAGTTCCAGGACGTTTAACATTTGTAAAGCACTTTGGCTGCAGAGCATTTAATATTTGCATACCACGAAAGGTGCAGAACACTTCAACATCTGTTGAACCATGTGCAGAACATTCAGCCTTTGCAAAGCACACAATGCATCGGACATCTAGCATTTGTGCAGGGCACAAGGGTACATGAGCTGCAGAGCATCAAACATGTGCAGAGCATTCCGAGAAGCTCAGGGGCTTCAGAACATTTAGCAAAGCACAGAACAGTTGCAGAACATTTAGAGGTCTATGTATTACTGTTTTCACTCAAGATTCACCCACCTTCTACACAAGATTCAGTGTTAGAGCAATGAGCTCAGGCATTCCGAAAGTTGCAGAGCATTCGTTATTTGCAGAGCACAGAAGCTCCAACATCTGAAGCCTTTGCAGAGCATTTCGTAGAAGTTGCAGAGCATTAGTTATTTGCAGAGCACAGAAGCTCCAACATCTGAAGCCTTTGCAGAGCATTCCGAAGGTTGCAGAGCATTAGTTATTTGCAGAGCACAGAAGCTCCAACATCTGAAGCCTTTGCACAGCACGGGGGCTGCAGAACGCGAAGATTTGCAGATCATACAATGTGCGGAACATTTGCAGAGCCCCCCCTATCACCGATCTGCCCCCCAGTGCCGGCACAGCGCCCCCAGGCGGAGAGGCACGCCGCTCTCGGGCTCTGGCTCTGCCCCGCATACATTATGTGACATCAGCTGTAGTCTGCGCTCTCCTCCTCCTCCCAGCCAGAAGCTCGGAGTACTCCATGGTGAGCGGACTGTGCGCCTTGTGCCTGCTGTGCGGGGCCCCAGACTGATGCCAGCTGCAGCCCCCGGAGCCCAGTAAGTGCCAGGCTGTGTCTGTGTGAGGGGGGGTCTCCGGTGTGAGCGGGCAATCAGCTCTCTGCAAATTCCTCTCCTCCATCCCAAACTCACCTTCCTCTGCCGGCTTCTCTCTGGAGTTTCTACCCAGCCTGCTGCCACCCCATCCATCACCCCTCCCCGGTGCCTGTACAGTGCCCAACACCTGGGTGGCTTCTCATGCCCCTTCCCAGGCTGCCTATATTAATGCCCCTTTATCTGCCCCACCCATTCATATGCATCATCCCTTTCTTCATCCCTCTGTCACCATTCACTGGCTGCATTGTGCCATGTTTGGGGTCACAGAGAACAAAGCGCCTCGCTGGGCATGAGACGGTGCACGCTGGAGGGTCTGCATCCCTCCGATGGGTTAACACATGCAATCATTCCCCTGTAATGCTGGGACACACGCTGACATGTGAGGGATTCGCATTTTGGGGAATCGCATGTTAAACTCGCATGATCGGCACCGATGCTCACGACTTATTTTCTGATTTATTTTTTGCATTTTGTGATGAAGACGTAAAGTTGGCGCTGTGTGTCAGCCGTGCGATGTGACCGGCGATATTCCATAGACAGCCTTTTGTCTTGGAATGTGGAAAGAAGGAGTGAAACATGTTTCTGTGCTGTTCGCTGTTTTTTTGACGTCGGGATGCAGATTTGTAAATCATTTCCTATCAATATTGTCTTTTTTGATTTCCTTTTGTCATGATACAAAGTGGCGAGTTTTCTCCTCTCCGCCGGCTGGAAATGATCTGAGACCC